TACTTATACATAAGCGGATCAATCCCACCGAGGCATCACAAGGTTAGTATACTAGATTAGTTTAAGCAGGTAGAAAGTAGGACGGGGTCAAGAATAAGCAATCGCAGCCTCATATATGCCTTTCATCAGCGCGCCCAGCGCCATTGCAAGCGTAACATGGAGTACAGTGTAAATTCACAGTTGTGAGGATGGGAGTGAGCAGGGGTGATTAAAGCGGCAGTGTTGACTAACCAGGCTGGGTTTCGTCGTAGACCTGAGTAGGCAACCTGGTACCGCCCAGTACCTGCCTATCCGCCTCATCTACCGTCTGCCCTCCAGCCTGACCTGCTCAGATTTGGTGGTAGTGGAGGCACCTGAGTCAGGTACCTCCATGCCTCTTCTTCTGCTTTTTAATGCTAACATTGTTGGCGAGCATAGTTTCGACATGTTGTCAACAAGAAGATAACAAAAGAAGCTTCAAAATAACTACCATGACATAGGTTAACGCTTCTTCATTGTTGTGGTGCTGTCTGTCAATCACGGAACACCAAGTCCTCACCTCATCTTCTACAACAAGTTGAGAGGCGTTTTGGTGTGTGCCACCTGTGCTTTCCACGCTTGGTAGGTACATGCCTGCATTAGTAGCCAAGATTGGGTCCGTGCCGGCCTTGCCCACCATCTTGCCTCGATCACCATCCATAGGATCGTACTCAGCATCGTGGAAAGAAAACACGGACTCGGCGCGCATCCACATCCACCTCGTTGGCCGTGACTACGGTCCCTCACCGCGCCAGCCCAGGCAAAATGGGGGAAATGACGGGAAATGGCAGAGTCGCGCACCCACTCCGCGGATGCGAGAGGTAGGCCTAGTTGCGAGGAACCGCCCGGCTGGTCTAGTGCCACACCTTGGCGACGACATCGCGTCCTCCCACCTGCATGGGAAGTGGATTGTGTCCAGTTTAGGTGTAGCCTCGATTGCCTCGATGCCACGCGATGTCGAAGAGGCAGAGGAGCCAGGAATCAGGTCAATTCGACAGGTAGCCTAACCAGATCTCCTGGATGCTCTCTCGGCAATGATGGCACTAACAACTACTCATCTACCTCAGCACCCGCTCTCCAGACGCTCCCTCCTCTCCTATTCCAACGATGGAGGCACGCATGAGCGCCACACCTTGACTTGGGACTTGGGAACAATGGGACATGCCCTCGTGCCGCGCTCCCGCCCTTGCGATGCCCGTGAAGACGGTCAGCAAAGCGTGAGACTCTGCTTCCTACATGCGATCAGTTGGGTGACATCAACGCTCGCTGCCAAGGCACTTATCCATTCGTCCACGCATCCACACACACATGCCAGCCTCAACCTGCACCGGGGCAGGCAAGGAACCCCAGCAAGAGAAATAAACGGCCCTGAGAGCGGCTCGACCCATACCGCCTCGACAATCCAGGTGCCAGGCGCTTGCGTGTGTTGATTATTTCTTTCCTCTCTCCCCTTCTCCGCCATCCTTCCTGCGGCCACTCCCCGACAATAAGATATTGGCATCAGCTAGGTAATGCGTAGCCGCAAATCATGACGTCGTATCCAAGCGGAACAATTACATCAGATGCAGGACCGTGCGTTTTTGTGGCTTTTGTGTGCCTCAATCCAGCAAAAACCGGCAAACTCCGTCATGGCAAAAAGGAGGGAGTGGAACAGGCCTGATGAGCTTCTGCACTACGCAGCACAAAAGGTGCCTGTGTGAAATCTCTTCCAAAGTACCTACCAAATCATTTGATGTATCCATACAGAATTTCCCACTCTCTTAGCCGGTGCTCCCTAGTTTGTGTCGGTGAGCGCTTGGCACATCTCCCGTGCACACCGGTGTAAGGTACCCCCATCAGCTGTTATTAGTTTTATTAACTGTCCATATTTATTTCTTTTAGTTTAGGCGGTCAGTAGCAAAGCAAGCCTCCATCCTACTCACTAACTTCACATGCAGCAGATCAACATGGAGTTCGCATGCTCTCTGTTCTGCTATCATTGTTCCCCTCCAGACAACCACATATGTAATGAACTGTAAATTCTATGCACAGCTGCTTTCTAGCTTAGCAAGCCTCCCCAGCCAGACGCTCCTCTCTTTATGGGGGGATCAGGTCCGCCATTCCGCAAGCTGACTGATGTTCGATGCCACAACATTTTGTATCCGTTCCGCCCTCGCCTATTCGCCCTATGGTTCATCCGTGCCCATCATCATGACAGGTTGACTGGCAACGGCATTAAAAATGGCATTAAAAATGGCATTAAAAATGGCATTAAAAACGGTGTGAGCGGTTAGCGACCCGACCCTGGAGAGCGTCTCCGCCTGCTCGATTCGCGTTGGCGATCACCCAGAGCCCAAAGTACGTGCCGGCCAAATATCCTTGTCGCCAACCGTCCACATGCCATGCATCGATCAATGCCTGCCTCAACCATCCAAGTGACGTAATGGTAAATAACACATTTGATGAAGATGGCCGTTCAATTTTCCATGTCCCAATCGCATATCAAGCATTTCCAGAGAGCCCTGAGAGTTCGCGATTTGGCCCAACGTCGCATAGAGACGTGAGCTATGTTATTTTGGACTCTTTGCCGAACCTGTCCTAGTGAAGAAGTTTCCGTTAAATTGCGGTTTGGCTACACAGAGTCAAGCAGAGCGTCATGCGATCAGCCTTGGTGCTTCTTCATGGGGATCTGACACATCATGTCCATGACACGTCCATAACAGTCCGGATGGATTACCTGTGGTTTCTTACCGATAGGAGCAAAAAAAAAACTTGATTTCCTCCGTTTCCTCTTGACGGAGATATTAGCAAATATGATTCGAACAAGCAGTGAACGGCATGAACGGAGCTTCAGATCAAACAAGTCATTCGAAATGCGCAGAACGTTTATAGTATCTGTCCCAAGGCTGTATCCTATGTCATTCTGAATCAGCCCGCCAAGACAACTTGACAGGAAAGGCACGAACCAAGATCATTACGACTCCCGAAGCATTTTGCCAAGCTTCTCTCTCTCTCCCCAAAACAGACTGTGTTCCTCAGCTTTTAATGACCCAATCAGAAATAGATTCTCCACCCATGACTTTCGTGAAAAGATTGCGCAAGGAAAGAGAGGCAAAGAGAGCTCATGTTTGTAGTATACTCGCTCTACATTCAGGCAACCACTGCAGTCTTGAAACCAAGCTTTTGTTTTTGGATACGCGGATAAACACCGACGAGGATCAGAATAGCCAGAAGCAAGACAGCCCAGAGAGGGATCTTAAGCACGTTGTAGTTGTATGGCGTGTCTATAGCGGTCACGACGGTTGCGAGCAGCAAGGTGAGGATCAGATACCCGCTCCAGCGGTGATACTTGTAAATCGACTTGGCATTGTCCACCGAGCCGTAGAGGCGCGGCGTAGCCCATATCGTAAACCCGACAAAGTACTGGGCGAGGAGGACGAAGGACGAGATGACGCCCATATAACCATGGACGGAGTGGAAGTGGGCTCCGTTGCTGATGAGCTTGTTGTACTCGATAATGGTCACGCCCGTGACGAGAAAGAGGAAGGCGGCCAGGTTGAGCGACGCGTGGAACCGCTGCCCCAGCCTCTTCTGCTCTGCGGTATGGGTAGGCTGGAGCAGCAATATGGACTGGACGAGGGTCAGGATAGCGAGGGACTGCGCCAGGGGGTGGCCGGAGAAGAGAATCAGAGGTTTGGTGAGCACGCTGGCCCAGATGAGGGCTACGAGCAGGAGGATTGAAATCTGTGCGATAGCACCAGTGCCTAGGCAGGTTAGGTGTCAGTGTTCGCGAGCCACAGCTGGATGGACTCACCAATATAAAGGTTCTTGATGAACGAGCCACCGTCAGCCTGGGCAACATCTCCTGGACGTCCAAGCAATGGCTCCGTCTCGGCATGATGGTGGGCTGCGCTACCATTGCCCACGACCCGTTCCGGTACACCTGTAGCGCTCGCCATGATGAGTGTAGAGGCTAAATATCAGCGATGTAGCGAATATCAAAGGACTGCAATTGAATGGAAGAGATTCAACCGGGCTTGGGCGTCGCAGGTGGCTGGTTGATTGAGATTCAATAAAGAAAGACCTGGTCAATCTGCGAAATCAGCAGGAAGGCGGGGAGAAACCCAGTCGGATGACAGCTGCATGCAAGAGGTGTGATGCTGGGAGTCTCGGGGAGCCATGACGAGACATCCGTAGAGCAATTGCGTTATTGATCCCGAGAGGTGTAGCCAATGACGTTTACGTATTTTCAAATGCACGAAGCTCCCGATAAAGTACTAACCTAGTGCGATCTAGGCAATACTGAATTGCCTGCCGTGTACCATGGAAGCGAACTCATAGTCCGATAGCGGGGTAATCAGATAGCCGACTGCGGGTTGAGCTAACCTAAACATGCTGTTGGGCAGGGACCTGCCTATATAGGGACGTCTCGAAAACTCAATTGGTGCTGTTCGATGCGCTACGAGCTGCCATCTCACGGCGCCATGCACAAGTCGGCATGTATCGCACAAGGGAGAGGTGCTCGAAACTCGTGGTACGCTGGTGTGCCCAGGCTCACGAGCAGTCGCGCAAGTATCGGCACTTGATCACACAGGACGGTACCCCTGTTGGCTATACGCAACTACGGTACCGGTAGACAGCGCTGTTAACTTACAAGTTCTACCTACCTACTGGCTCAATAAGACTTCCCAATAAAATGAGAGCATGCAGCCAGCAGAATGATGGCAGTTGCTTGGAAGCAGCCTCGTTTGCGCACTGGTAAATATGCCTGACTGTTATCAACATGTCACAATCGCCGGGGCCGGCACTATCTCACCCCTCTGCGGGGACCGCGAGGGCTACATCGGAGCCGGCCGATGCAGCTGTCACTGGCAGGTAACCATTGACGCATTTAACTTCATCTTTCGTTCCCACGCCCACAAAACCGACACTGAGGCCTTTTTCAATGAGCACCGTCCTTCAAACCGCCACAACTGATACCTAATTACACAGCCACCCTCATAATGGCTTCGTTCGTAGACAGCATCGAGTACAAGCTCGAGAACATCCCAGCGACAGCCGTTGCTTCGGATGAGATCGACAAGACATTCCGCTCCAGTAGCATTGGTGCGCCTCATCCTCACGACCTTCCCGGCTCAAAACCCTCACTAATACGTGCTAGACCTGATTTCCGGGACATTGGGCGGTAAGATACTTGCCTTCTCTGATCAATGGTTCGCCGAAGCCGCCAACCTGCTGACCCCCACTGCCCCCATCCGGCAGCCGGGCAAGATGGTCTTCACGGGCGCTTGGTACGACGGTTGGGAGACCAGGCGGCACAATCAGGACCCCTTCGACTGGGTCATTGTCCGCCTCGGCGTCGCTTCCGGTACCGTTGAGGGTGTTGAGGTCGACACTGCCTTCTTCTCCGGCAACCACGCCCCGGCCATCTCCGTTGAGGGCTGCTTCAGCGACAACGACGAAGAGGTTATTTCGTGGAAGGACGGGCGGGGGAAGTGGGAGACGGTCCTCGGGATCCAAGAGTGTGGCCCGTCGCAACGTTTTGGGTGGAGGCTTGCTGAGCCTACCAAGAAGCGGTACACTCACGTGAGGCTCAACATGTACCCAGACGGCGGCATCGCCAGATTCCGGCTCTTTGGCCACGCAGTCCCCGTCTTCCCAGAAGACAAGGAGGCCATCTTCGACCTGGCGGCCGCCCAGAACGGCGGAGTTGCCATCTCCTGTAGTGACCAACATTTTGGTACCAAGGACAACTTGCTCCTGCCTGGACGTGGCAAGGATATGGGCGACGGATGGGAGACGGCTCGGTCACGGAGCCCTGGCCATATTGACTGGACCATTATTAAGCTCGGCGCACCTGGGTATATCCAAGACTTTGTCGTCGACACTGCACATTTCAGGGGCAACTTCCCTCAAAAAGTGGCCATCCAGGGCATTGAGTGGAAGGGAGAGGGAGAGCCGGACGATAAGTCATCAGGATGGGTAGATTTGGTGGCTCCAAGCAAGACGGGTCCCGACCAGGAACACAAATTTGCGAGCAGCTCCAAGGAAGCTCCCTTGACACATATTAAGCTCATCATGATTCCCGATGGCGGTGTCAAGCGGATTAGAGCCTTTGGAAAGAGAGTGGCATAGGCTGTGTTCGATAGTGTGTAAATCTAGTTGTTTAACTTGACGTATTTACACAACTGATGTAATCAATAACCAGTTCCAGCTCAGATGTTGGCGATGTCGGCTCTCGTATGGCAGCTCAACTGTCTTATTACATCCTAAGTTGGTACTGCATTGGCTTCCTGGCTTACAATTGGACAACGGGTTAGTAGAGCACCAAAGATTTGGGCCCTGTGGAACAAGCTTCTTACTCCTCTGAACTCTCACAGTTCCAGAAGGAATAGCAGAAAACCATGGCAATGGGGAAGACGGGAAAGTTGAGGCGGGCCGGCCTAATGGCTTGACACCCTCCCGAGCTCCAGCCTTACGAGCACCCGGCCAGTGAACTTCACACCTCGATCGAGTTTTGAATGCGTTACAAGCGAGTCTCTAAAGGAGCTCAACCGACAAGATCTTCGACCCCCTCTGCCGCTTCTTTCCGCTTCTGTCACCAACCGCGTGGTTCACTTGGCAAAACTTGGGGGCCCTGATTTATCTGATCTTCGCGGAGTATGTTCATCCGACCAGACCCGTGTCGACTGTTCTTTTTAGCCAACTACTCTTTAGTATCAATTACCTCGCAATCTCCGCGCCATGGCAACTGATCTGCGGAGTTATGTTCCTCCCACCGATGCAGTCTTGGCTCCAAAACCACCTCCTTTGGGTCCATTATTAAAGAAGTTCAACATATAATCGACTTTTGATTCGAAACAGCTAGATATACAGCCGCGGCGAGACACACTGGCTGTTCGAAGGCCTTCGGTCTCTCTCAACAATCTCCGACGACGCATATAAGAAATTCCTGAAAAATATGGATGCAGCAGAAACTGGCATGGAACTTGGTCTTTACCTTGTTCCTGCCCTCCTGGGTAGTGAATACCCAAGAAACCTTTTCGCCCTTCATGCACCATTCGTGACGATGGATCCTTTTGGAGAAAACATACCAGCAGCCCAGCCGGATCTATACTGCGGAGAGTTTCCGCCTGAGAGCCTTGACAAGTCAGTTCGTGAAGCTCTCGCTAAGCACATAGACCCATCACTGTCGGAAAAGATGCCGATAATCCCAAACTTCTTTTTGGAGTACCAAGACCTGGCTATTACTGAGAGAGATGTGAAATCCCAAGCTCAGTATGATGGTGCTATTGGATCTCGTGCCACCCACAGTCTATAGAATTATGGAAACGAAGAGTTGCAATACGGTAATCAGCCATATACATTCTCTGCTACATATCATCGAGGCCTGCTTGTGCTCTACGCTCATCATGTCACGAAACCTTGTAACGAGGGCGAATTGCCCGGGTTTCATATGAATCCAATCCGGAATATTCCCATATTAGACAGTCGCGAATCATTCATCGAAGGCATAACAGCCTTGAGGAATGCAAGGGATGAGGCTGTAAAACATCGAGACCGTTTCATCGCGGCTACAAACCGTACAAGGTCCAGCCAGCAGGAACAGGGGGATCGCCAGGCTGACCAGTTTCTAAACACCCTTCAACATCACAATGTCAGCAATGATACTATTCGTCAGATGATGGGGATCGTTCAGCAGGCACTCCAACAACCTGCTGCCGTCAGCGCTGCTCCTTTCCATCAGACGGCCCAGGCTTTTCACACCATGCTTCAACCACCTGCTGCAATTAGCGGCGACACTCTCCACCCTGAACCAGAAAACGAACAGGGCTTGAACGAAGGGCCGACAACCATGACACCGGTTCTTCCTTCAGCAACGAGCGCGCCCCAGAGCGCTGCACCAAGCCAAATTGCTACACAGCATAAACGTCCAGGTCCTTCCCAGGATGCATCCTCTCGACCGTCTGTTAAAAAGACGCGTACAGGTCGAACGTATTAATACCACCCAATGAGATAACCGAGTGTAGAGCGAATGTATTCATGGGAACAGGTTCTTTCTCTCTCTTTCTTTTGTCGTGGTATGCTGTTGTGCCTTGCTAGTGTGAATAGGTGAATAAACGCCACGTCATTACTTTCCAAATAGATCCCATTGCTCTGGTTCTCTAATAAAGGCTTCTACACTAGGCAAAATCTACCGATTAGGGTGTGAGCCGAACGCCATTTTGTTTGCTTTACTCCCGGGCCTGTAGGAACAGGTGGCTTTTTCGCCAGCTTTATTTTCGACGACCTAGGTAGGCAGATATGCAGAGCTGTGGCCCAGGCCAAGGAAAATACCTAGTTGCACTTCCAAACAGTGTGAATCTAGAGCCAACAAGGATATTGGCCATGCGCGAAATGATGTCAGCGATCGCATTAGCCAAAAATATAAGCAGCTGTTTCACGACTGTTTTAACAAAATAAGTAACCGCTTTTAGAGCCGGTTGCACATGTGGCATTGCGGGAGAGATCAAGGCCTTGTTTCTGTCTGAATTGGGTTGACTGACGTAAGCATCCACATCCATGGCGGGAGCGGCGTATCTATTATCTGGCGCAGAGTGTCCCTGCCTGTTTCGCCGGGGCAGCTGTCACCTACTAACCGCTAACTTCGAGGTGCTAGCCCAGGCACTACGTGCTAAAGAAAGAATGACGACCATCTCGTCTCCGGGCAACTCCATCTTCCAGGCTCCGCATCACGCGACAACGACGAACGAAACATCTATCTGCGACTGGGTATTTTCCCGATACTGAAGAGCAGAGCCCTCCAACTCTTTGGCTCCGGCCGCGACTCTTCCGACCGCTCTGCGCGACTCATCTCGCATGAGCTGGGGAGCCCGGCACCTGCCCCTCCTCCCATCATGGACGCCGAAGACTCCAATAACGACTTTGGCAGACCTCAGCGGAAGTCTGTGATACTGCCTCCGGATCTTCCCAAATCCCTAGACGACAGGCGGCATGCTCCAATCGATACTCTAATCCCCGAGACTGAGATGTACGATGGCTGGCAAGGTTGGTCTCCCCGCCTCCGAGCTTGCCCCAGGTTCAAAGAGCCCGGCTAACATGCGCACCCAGGCGAGTCTCAATTCCTCACAACCCCGGCCGTAGCGAAGCCGCTCAACTTCGCAAGCCTATCCCTTGACGAGCCGGCATTCGACAACGATGGGCCCAAAGACAGCGACACCCGGCTCATGGAGATGCTGGCTGCCCAAGCCGCCCACTCGTCGGGGCCGGATCTTCAGGATGAGCAAGCCATCGCCAACGATGACAAGATGTCGGACGAGCAGAAACGGGCCACGCTGCAAAAACTGCTAAACATGGCCGCCAGCAATGGCGACGTCGAGAAGGTGCAGAAACTCCTTGGTGGCAGTGCGAAGCCGTACATTGACGTCAACGCCCCGGACGAGGATGGCACCCCGCCGCTGATCTATGCTAGCTGTTTTGTCAGTCTCTATCATTCCCCCGATCAAAGAACTCGAGATACTGACCCATTCCTTAGGGCCACGAGCCAGTCGTCCAAACTCTCGTTCGAGGCGGCGCAGACGTCAATAAACAGGATCGCAACCAGTGGAGCCCTCTCATGTGGGCAATGACGAATCGCCATAAAGGAATTGCAAAGCTGCTTTTGGATAACGGCGCATCTTCTGACCAAAAAACATCATCTGGGAGGACAGCTGCCGACTTCGTCCCTCCCGATAGCGAGATGTCCACCTATCTACACACAAACGGCTACGCGATTGGTACCGCCGGCGTGGTGGATGATTTCTACAGCCCAGGTCTCTCTCAGGACCGGTTCGAGGAAGAATTAATGGAAAATGAAATGCGAAGAAGGCTGATGATGGAGAGCGCCAGGGATCTAGAGGTCGATCTTGGTAACGTCGGAATGGACGATCAACCAGAGGTATGCGACAGCCGAACGAGCAGAAATATCACAGCAGCTGGATGTGCGTTGGCTAACAGGTTTTAGTCTGCCGATGAGTTCGAGGAGGAACAACAAGAGTTCGATTGGAGCCGATGTTTACACGACCAGATGTTCGTCTTCCAAGAACACGAGCTGGACCGGATATTGGATATTGTTATCACACACATGACGCCACAACGATCGCCCACTCAGAAGCCCGTACCCGCCAATATGGTTTTTCTTAGCGCTCGATATGCACATTACCACTCAAGTGCAGAGCTCCTGGAGCGGCTCCTCATATCGGCCATGGACCGTATTAATGATGTGGTCGAAAGATATCAGTGGGATATGACGATACTCGCATTCTGGTTATCCAACGCCACGCTGCTTTTACATTATTTGAAGAAGGATGCCGGACTTGTTGAGGCTACATCCGAGTTCCAAGCCCACTTGGCTGAATTGATTAACGAAATATTTATTCTCATTGTTCGAGATGCAGAGAGACGACTGGACAAGGTCCTAGATGTGGCAATGCTCGACCACGAAATCATCCCTGGTTTCGAGGATATCCAATTTCAGAACGAGTGGAAAATTTTCAAGCGAAAACCTACTGTGAAAGAGGAACCGCTAGAGAAACGGTTTCGACCGCCGTCCCCGAAGCAAAGAGCAAAGCCCGCTCCTCGAAACGTCACATCGCTCCTCTCATCCACGTTGTTTGTCCTAGATCTCTACGATGTCCACTCCGTGATTACGTCGCAAATCATTTCTCAGCTCATCTATTGGATTGGGGCCGAACTTTTCAACAGGATCATGTCAAACAGAAAGTATCTAGCGAGGACAAAGGCGATGCAAATTCGGATGAACATCTCCATTCTGGAAGACTGGGCCCGGACAAACAACCGGCAAGCTGAGCATTACGAAACCGGTGAAATGAAGTCTTCAGGGGAGACAACTGCAGATGCCGCCAGGCACCACCTCGCTCCTGTTATTCAGATGCTCCAGTGGATTCAATGTTTCTCTTCCCTGGCGTCAAACGATTTGGAGGCTCTCGTGGGCACACTCCAGCAACTCAAGCGGCTTACCCCACAGCAACTCATACATGCAGCTTCGCATTACAGACTCGAAGTTGGCGAAAAGGGTCTGACAAAGAGCGCACTGAAGTATTTACAGGCCATTCAGAAGGAGGCGGCTCTCAAGCGGGACCGAAGGCGTAGCAGAGCTACATCGTTAGTATCAGTACCGGACAGCAGCCCGGCAACTCCTGTGAAGAGGAATCAGGCACAAGGAAACGGGGCAGATACGCCAAGCGTGCAAGGCACGCCCAATGCCAAGGGCACAGATGGGGCGGACGAGGATTACGATGATGCGCCGGAAAATCTACTGCTGGACCCTGCGCTCATGCTCCCGTTCTCGCTACCCTCGGTAACAGACATGCTGATTTCCTATGGCGCGGGTTTTGGAGGAGTGAACCGAGAACGGGAGCGCAAGTACATCCCAACAGTGCCACCTGAGTTTCTCGAGAAGCTAGAATTGAACGGCGGTCGGAAAGGGCCCATGTTTGGAGAAAAGGATTGGGAGAACGAGGAAGTATGATAGACATGAATGAAAGGCATTGATGAAATGACTCTCACACACTCTCCTTCCCTCCCGTGGTCCCCACACTGTCAATGTGCATTCCCACACGGCAACGGGGCAGGTTGGACCCTTGGCGTCGAGGGAAATCACAGCATTGAGCGCATGCCATCATCGTAATCAATCGGCGCTGAGCACGATCCATGCAAACCGAACGAACCCGCATTTCGCAGAGCCGTTGGCGAGGGGGCCCGTGTAATGCCGTTACCAAATACCCTACCCATCTTGCCCACACGCACTAGCTGGCGGTCCTCTCCATGAATGAGAGTCCATGCGGGTGAGCGGGTTGGCTGATGAAATCAGCCATGCAAGCTGCAAGGGGACGCCCCTTCATAATTGCCGTGGTAGCGATGCTGGGGCATTCCGTCTCGGCTGTAACGTCCATGTTGTATTCTGGTCTCTCGTATTGCTTTGTCCATGAACCTTAAGCGCAGAGCTGTTTTTTTTTTGGATAGAGTGTGAACAGCATTTTGGATGGCAGTGTTACGGTAGCGAGAGTTTAATTTCCCCAATTATCGAATCGCCTGTTCGATTACTGTAGAGGGCACAATTGCGTGTTTAGGTGGTGGGAGTCCTGCTCTGTGTGAGATTGGGAATTCTACATATTGGAGGGAGCTCAATGTATGGGCGATCTGTTTAGCATTATGCTGGCGTCTAGGTTAAGCATACGCCAGCGCTTAGTCCAAGTACCTCTATGGGATGGCTTATCCTAGGGTCAATTCAATTCACCCAACCCATCAGCCCTCCAGAAATAGTTCTCCCGTGCTAGATTTGAGAAACTACGTTGGTAGGATGTAGCAACGACGCGAGACCAAAGCAAAAGAAAATGAAAGGGGCACATGCCGTGTCAATTAACGCTCCTACGCCGCTTCCAGTGTTGTATTTGGGGGCAGCTGTATGTACAGGGTAGGGAATCACATCGCGAGAGGTAGCAATTGGATGGTCAATTTTGCATCGCGATTGGGCAATGACACAAGCAGGTGGTATTGGTTAATTCCTGGCCACGGGAGCGTTTCGCCACGCGGAGGCGGGAGATTGGGGGAAGATGAGCCGACATTGCCAGTAGCATTTTTTTTTTTTTTTTTTTTTTTTTTCACTTTCATATGTCAATCGCTATTAATTAATAATCATCTTAACGAGCCCGTGAATCTCAGGCCCGTGGTGTCATTTCGTCAATGGCAGCGGCCCAGCGTCGAGGACGTGGGCTGTATGAGGAAGCTGGGGCGTGGCAGCTGAAAGTGAGTCGACTGCGAGATTTGAGTCACTCGGAAGAGCATCGGATGGGCAGACAAATTGAGAGATTTTTTCCCCATCAATCAATCATTCAACCTGTCGTCGCGTGCAATTATAGCTTGGATACCTACTGCAGACTTTTTCTCGACGTGGCAAGCTGGCCGCCGTTTTGTCCCAGCACCGTGATTTGGTGTGGCCCAATTGGTGCGGTGCCGCTCACGAAAGAGGCATTTGTGCTCCAGCCCGACGAGAAGCATGCATCGGAGCTAACTTGAGTTGTCAATGACCAGGCAGCTTGGTGTGCACATGCATGCATGAAGGGCCAGTTCAGTTCTCCAGGTATCTCATCCAGCTGGTGGTTCGTGTGATGGGGCGAGAGAGAAGACTGGGCACCACATGTACAACTTGACCGCGAGTGTGTGGGAAGCAAGCGTGAGCTGGCTAGTGCCACGTCAATGAGCAGGGCCCAACGAGAGACCATGGGAGAAGGGAGAAAAAAAAAACAGAGAAAGAGGCGGAAGCTCTCCCTACAGGTCGGTGTGTGGTAGGCCGACGCATCCTGACTTTTCCTCGTCTGGAAAGGTAGCAGCGAGAGCAGGCCAAGTCAGGCCCGACCTTATCAGGCCGCAATGCAATGGAGGGTATGAAGGGCACAATGGATCACACAGAATGATGCACAAAAGAACAAAAGGAAAAATGCAAAGGAAAGGGACGAAATGTGTCGGCTGTGTCTAGCTTTTCATGCATCGAGATGATGTACATGCGGATCAAACACTTACAGTAGCAGTCGCATCTGTCATCATCTCGTCTTCCCCATTGACCTTTTTTTTATTTTATTTTAGGGACGGTCGATGAGATGCGCGGCGGGCATGTGCGCCCCCAACCAGAAACAGGACATGGACCCGTTGCATGAGGCTGCATAGACTGGCAACACAAGGATGGCCTATCAAGCTGGAACACATCTGGGGCTGGCGGAGGAGCAGATCGCTGGCCGCTCCAGCAACCTCTGCTGGTGTTTGTTATTTACCAGTTCGAATGGAACTATAACGGACGGCGTGGGTCAGGGGCGACCTTGCCAGTCGTGCATGTTAGCATGAGCTCTCAGCCGTGCAGTGCATCAGCACAGAAGCACAGGGGTTCACGCAGATTGTATCTCGCAATCAGCATGGAGTTGGCAGGCAGGACCTGGCGATTGGAGACACGGGGAAGAGAAATGACAGGCATTGATCGGGCAGGGCGAGCGGGTTGATTGTCCCATTACAATGGTCCATGGTCCGATTCTATTATCGTCCGCCCTCCCCGTGCTGAGAGGCAGGTTCCCAAACACGAGCGAGTCAGTGAACTTTTTGGGGAGATTGACACTGGGGTCAGGACCAGAAAGCACCGGGTTTGTGAAGCAAGGCCACAGGGGTGTGAGGGAAAAGGAAGAATAGGGGAGTTTCGTCCAACATAGATACTCAATGCCATGAATAGTGAACCAGGCAAAAACAGGGTACCCGGGTTTTACATTGTTGATGGGATCTTGTGGTAAGACGAGAAGCGAGGCGAAGCGAGGTGATGCGGTTTGAAGCGAAGAAAGGGGACGAGAAGACGGGGCGAGGTGGAATTGGAAATGCAAATGGGGGTGAAGGGGATCCCTTGTTCGCCCGAGCAAGGGGAATGCGGATGGACAACGTGGCGGGCCGGGTGGAAGAACGGGCAGAAGAGAAGGGGAAGGATGGATGACAATTCACATTAATTGGGTGGTGGCGGGGGGTACATATCGTCAGATTAACAACTTGACAAGTGCCAGCCATCGGAGTTTGTTTGGTGTGTGTGTGTGAGTGAAGCGGGTACCTTGCAGGTGTGCTGAGGCGGTCATTTGGTCCAAAGGTCCAAAGCAGACATGCTCCCTGATTCCGCTCGGTCCAAGAGCGGTGATCGGGCCACCGACTTGGGCCACCGCCTTGGAAACGATTTGTGCACGCGGGAAGAGGCTGCCCTACGTAGCACTAGCGGCCGTTTTGGAGGGGACCTGAGGGGTCGGTCTCTTGGTCGGTGTGCAGAGACCAGCGGCCTGGCCCTAGTGTGAGCTGGAGGTCGGAGTTAGCAGTCCCCACGAGGGCATGTCATTTGATGTTGTGGTTGTGCGGTGAGGAGACTGGTCCGAGGCTCGCTGCAGAGGCAAACTCAGATGTAATGTGATGCTCGTCTCGTCTGGGTGGTATTGGATTGTTTGCCGTGAGTAGATGGCCTGGTAGGTCGGTGGGGGGGCCACGCTGCCAGAGGCAAAGGGCCCAGCAAGCGAAGCAAGCAAGCGAGGAGTGATGTGGCAGATGGTGGGTGGCAGCCCGGCTGGTGGGACACCCAATATTATGCATTCACTTTACATGCAAGTACCTCTTCCCATTTCCCAATCTGGCGGGTGAGCCAGCGTGAAGGGCTCGGGGAAGGGAGTCCCTCTTTTTTTTTTTGCCCTTTCCCATGTGTTTGGCGCCATGCCAGGCATTGTGTTGCAAGGGTGATGGGTTGGGCTGGGCTGCTGCGCTGGGCTGGATTGGCCGGATGGCTTGACCGTCCGACGGGGAGGGACGTGGACAGGCAGGAAGAAAAAAAAAGACAGCGAAAAGTACATGCCCTGTGTCTGTGCTGGATAGATGCTGTCATTGTATATTAAAGCATTGTGGTCCCATCGGCTCCTTGCTGCGACTGGCCTTGTTCCGTAACTAACTAACCTAGCATCACAGCTTTGTTGATTGATTGATTTCATTGTTGCTTTTTCTCGTCTTCTTTTTCTTTTGATTAGTAGATACCCCGGCGTCTCCTTGCTGCCCTCTGTCTCATCTCAGCTGCTGCAAGCTGCAGGATAGAAGAAGAAAAGACGACACAGCGTCGAAAAAAGGAAACAGGCTCAGCTCTTTTTGACTGCTGGTACGTGCCCTTGCGATCTGGACGAGCCGCGAGCGAAAAAATCTCAATCTTGACCTGCAATACAAATTGGGACCAGGCAATAACGATTTGTTAGGATTGGATTGTGGAAACAGCGACCACGACACCGCCCATTTATCCAGCCCACTTACATGAAGACGACGGCGACGGTATTGAACACTCTGTTTCAGTCGGAACCCAGCGTGAGCTCTCAGCCATTGAGTGTCTCTCAGTCGGTCCCCCGAGATACCCATTCACGTCGTCGAGATTTCAGATCTTGCACAACACACTTTCACACAACACATCATGGCTTCTGCCAGTACAAGCGAGCGGAGCCGGAGCCGGAGCAGGAGTAGGAGCAAGCCTCGCTCTGTGGCGAGGAAACCTTCATTTCGAGATGAACTGCAGCTGGTAGCTGTTCGCTACGAGAAGACGACCCAGGGCGACCTACCCATCCCCATTTCGAGCCGCAATTCACGCCCAAGCTCATCGTCACGACCAGCCTCTGCCTCTCGCCCTACTTCTGCATCCTCCTCCGTCTCCTACGGCGGCCCCATCGTGGTGATCCCCCCTCTCCCCCCCATCGCACCACCTACAGAGGAGCACCCGGCCTTGCGTGCCGGCCCTGTTCTGACCCAGAGGATAACCCCCGTGGAACGCAAGCGAGACTCGGGTCATGCTACTTCCAGCGCATCCTCGTCGACGCCTACAATCAACGAGGAGGACATCGAGAATGACTGTCGGGCCGAGTACCTGTCAACGACGCCGCCTCTCAGGACAATGTCTCCAGCGATGCTCTCCATCCAGGAGAGCGTCGAGGA